CTTGTTCTTGATGTCCCAAGCTCTCCCTCATGGTGACCTCATGGTGACATCACCTGTCATCCAGACCCAGAGCCTCTGCCTTCTGGAGGTCTTGCCGAGTCTTGATTCTGCCTCAAGCCCCACATCGAAATGGCCACCAGGGACTAGAAGTTCCACCTTCCTACCATCTCTGAGGTTGGCCCCCTCCCTCCATGCCTACTGTCACTGCTTTTGACAAGGACCTCAGGCTTTTCAACTCAAACCACTGATGTAACCCCCATCTGCTCTCACTGCCTAGTTTCTCTTTCCCCCAAGCCATCCGCTAAAATGCGGGCAAGTAGAGTTTTCTAGAACAAAACTCTGTGCCAGCTTTTCTGTTTAAGGCTATCTGATGACTCCAAAATCAATCATAAAGCCCTTAGCATGGCACCCAGGGCCCTGTAGGATCTGGACACCCCTTGTCTGGAAAGCCTTCAAGCCTCTCTAGCTAACTGATCTCTCTGGAGTGTCCAGCAGCCCCAGCCCCAGGGCTCCTTCCCCGCATCACCCCTGCCTCTGGATAGGATCTCTTCCCAGGGCTCCACGAGGTCCCCTGGGCTCACTGCTCACCAACACTGCTGAACTGCACTGTCTCCCCCCTAGGATACACACTCCATGTTTCTTCTTCTGTGTTTCTAGCCACTTGCGTAGTGCTGGGTCCTTGGTGATGGATCTGGAAATGGTGGTGGATCAATGGGTGGATGGATGAATGAATGAATGAATGAATGTTCTACCATGGGGGCAAACTTTGCCTAGAGAATACTGTATTATGGTTAGTGAATTCTTGGCACCAAACTGGAAATGTTTAGATGATGTCAAACAGGGCCATTAAGTGACTTTATGTCACTTGACAAATTTAAAGGGGGAGGGGAACAAGGAAAGGGAAAGGGACCTACTATTTATTGGGTAACTCCTTAGTAGGCATTTTTTTAAAAATGTTCTCTCATTTAACCTTGGTAAGAATACTCTGGAATCAATATCTTGGTTTTCTAGATCCACAATTATGGCACAGAAAAATTAGCCTCAGGCCCCCGTCGTATTCCAAAATCTGTGCTTCTTCCAGGAGATTAGCCCGAAAGACCACCCAGGTAACCCTGCAGGTTGGAGGCTGAGGAGGAGGCAGAGGGGCCAGTGGCAAGGCGGCTGCGGAGGTCCTGCCAGTGGGGATGCTGAGCATGGACCCGGATGCATGGGCTGCCGTGAGCTCTAGCTTGAGGTCCAGTTGGTTTGCAGATGAGAGAAGGTAGGGAGAGAGTGATGTCAGGGACGATTGAACACCCAGAGGTGTCATTTCAGAGATTTGTCTTCTGTGGACTCTAGAGCATTATGGGGAGTCAGATTTCTGCTCCCTGCTAGGAAGGACTCTCTGGCCAAGGTGAAAGGGGCAGGGGACACTGGCAGAAGCAAAGGGCGACACCCTGGTTCATTACCCCTAGTCTGGGACAGCAAACGGTGGACTAGAAATATTGGTAAAGGTGGGTGATTGGGAGAACAAGCCTCAACAGGTGCATGGTTCACTGGAATAGGTGCTGGATGGGTGGCAAAAATAATGCCTTCTCCTTAGCACCTTCTCAACGTGCACAACGGTGATAAGGATGACGCTCTCCAAGTGCAGTTTGAGGGGATGGATTCTAAAGTTGAACTACTCACTATCAGGCAAATGTGGGCGTGGCTTCCTTCCGCTTCACAGCCATAACCAGTCTGGCACTAACAAGAGGTGTTGTATTGTTTATTTTTCTACTTGGAAGAAAATGTATGAACGTTCATACTTTAAATTCAATGGTTTTCTGTGTGTGATCAAATAAACTGACTTGGTTGAAATGAAATATTTTTTAATGGTTTCTAAGGTATTTGTTTCTGTTCTGGTCTGGGTTTTTTTGTTCTTGTCTGTTTGACTTTTTTTTTTCTCCCAAACAAATTGCCTTCCTGTGCTGCCTTGAACTTCGATGGTTCAACATCTGGGATTCATAGACGGGCTAACTGTGCCCAGGTGCCCTAATCAGAGGGGCTGGGATAGCAGCAGGTGGCCAGTTAACTTCCAGATAGCACGCAGGGGGCCGCTCCACCAGCTTCCCTTGTTTATGACTCAGACTCTCTCAGGGTTCCAGCAGGGCAGATCCCCCGAGGCAGCAGGACATTTGTCCCAGTGGCCTGTTGAGGACTGCAGCTTTGAAAATGCTGTTGAAATGGCTGATGAAAGAGCAGCTATGGCCCAAACCCCAGAGCCCCAGCCTGACAGCCTGGCTTCACAGAGGCTTGTGGGAAACAGAGACCCACCCTCGAAAAGCCAGAGTTAGAACGCAACTTGGGAGCCACGGGGTCTTTATCCCTCATTTTACAGATGAGGAAACCGAGGCCTAACGCTGGGTGGGCATGCTCCACTTTCCGTGCCCCAGCTCGGGCCTCTTTCTCCTCACATCCCCACTCCATCTACTGCCCCCCTACAAAGAGGAACACCTCTCCGCAGGCTGTCCTCTGAAATCCCACACGGGAAGGGAGCATGCGTCTCTGAACACACATCACCGCAGTGGCACGCTAGAGTTTGGACACAGACATTGTTCCCTGCAGATGCAGACACCTCATGGACCCTCAACAGCAACATTCTCAGTGTGGTCCACTGGTTTTGGCACTTAGTTCTTCGGGGGGTTAATGGCTCTGCTTCCACATCAGTCAGCCCTGACAACTTGTTCTTTCAAAATCGTTAACCATAAACTGGAATTCAACACTGCATCTGCAGAGTGCCTTCTTCCCAGACAGGGTAGTGAAGGGGGAACGGGTGTCAGGGTGGGTTCGATAGCACGTCCTTTCTATCCTCAGGGGCACATTTCAGGCTCTTGGGCCTGAATATTTTCAGAAGTGCAAGAAAGAGTGCCCGGGCAATGGGAGAGAAAAACACATCCATCACATCCAGCCCAGACCCGTTAATGTGAAAAACTGGCCGGTGCCTGGCCTCACGCTGGCCCTGGCGCCTGTGTCCTGAGCACTGAGGATCTAACCAAGCAGATGTGAGCGGTGGACATCCCAGCAGGGCCATCAGGGCTGGAGAGCCGGTCCCCGTGGAGCTGCTGCCTCAGGGGGAAACCCACCCTTCAGCTTTGAAGGTTTCCATCCCTGGAGGACGCCTGGATGGCAGCCAGAGGAGTGACTCCCTGTCCCTCCAGACCACCAAAGATGACACAAGAGGCTGCAGACACTGGGCCCAGAAAGCTGAGAGCAGGAAATAAATACCTGGTCCTAGATGCCAGCAGTCTCGAAATGGACATGTGCCTTACCCCAGTTTTGTTGAAACAGTCATGTTTTTAAGCTAAATTTAAGACAAGGAGGAGGCGGAGTGGGAGGGCTCTGTATTGGTAAGATAAGGAGGGTGTCTTACATTTTCCTTGTCCCTTACAAAGCATATTCACAATATCTCAGCTTCACCATGGGATACCTGATACTCAACATGACTGTTTGACTTGGTCACTTTGACCATTATCGTTTCCTCTTTATTTTAAACAGGTGTGCATTGCACGCAGCGTCTGGACCCAGGGCTTCACTTCCCGCCCCCACTGAGCTGCGCTCCGACTTCTCTGAAGTCCCATCTACGTGTCGTGCTCTAAACCCACCGCCCTAGGAAGTAGGTGAGTATTTGGGCCGAGACCCTTGGTTCTGCCCACAGAAATTGACTCTGGCCAACTTGAGAACATAAAGACAATCTACTGGGAAGAAATCCAGCAGCTTCCAGAATGGACCAGAAAAATGGAAGAAAGGAACCAAGTCCATGCTACAGGGAGAGTCTGATCTGGATGACAGAGTAACCTCCACCACTGTCATTGTCACCGTTGCCTCCATTGCGTCTACTGAGATGATTCTCCACGTGCCCGTCTCTCTGCTCTACCTTTCAGATGCAAAGGCCCTGGCCCAGGCGGCTCACCCTCCTGGCCAGGGACCCTCACAGCACCTGCCTTCTTCAACTTCCCGGCAGGAGACAGTGCTCCCCTCCCCCACCATGGAGGCACACACCGTGGGGATCCCCACAAACAGAAGGCCATCCACACAGTAGGTCAGCTATTATTCCCTTCTCATAGAAGAGGAAACTGAAAGTGCTCACAGCCTCATAACAGTAAGTGACCCACCCAGCGTCACCTAGCTGGTAAGAAATGCCATGCCTCTTAAGGGTCATCACGCTTTACTCACCACATCAGGACTGTCTGGAGAGAGAGAGCTGTGAGTTTGCAGACTTTAATGGAAACCACCCACCTCTGAGCCTGACCGGTGCTCCTCAGGCTGAGAATATCCCATAGGAAAGGGCCCTTGCATGCAGGCGGACAGTTCTGTACGGAGGGGCTCTGAGCCTCTCTCCCTGCCTCCCTCTCTTTCCTCTCCCTCTCTCTCCCCATTCCAGTAAAATTCTTTTAGCCCCCCTGGTCCCATCACCAAAGTTCCTACAGTGTCACCAAGTCAGGGGACTGAACTTCATTCTGTCTGGTGAGTGGTGCATGAGGCAGAACAACAGATGAGTTCAGAGAGCCAGGCAAGAGCCTGTGACAAAGTATTTGGGCTTTGTTCAACCAGAGGCCATTGGGAGCCTTGGAAGGGTTTTCAGCAGGAGTGACCCAGTCCAGTTTTAGTAAGTGGAAGAATGGACAGGCTGGAATGAAGAGGAGGCATGAAGAGACTAATGAGCAGGCAATCATGGTAGACAGGTGGCCACAGTGGGGACAAGGAACAGTGGAGGGAGTCAAATATTAAGCTGATGGAATTAAAGGTCTTGGCGATTGATTTGACACAGAGTGGGTGGGAGCCGGCAAAGATTTTTGAGCAGTGGCGACATTCTCCAGGAGAGGGAATGCTGGTAGGTGGGCAGGTCATAGAAAGCAGGAGTCTTGGGGGCTGGGGACTCAGGAAGGACCTCTATAAGCTGTGTCTGTCAGCCTTCTGTTACTATAACAAAGTACCTAAGAGAACTGATGTGTAAAAAGAAAAGCTAGATTTTGTCTCACCATTTTGGAGGTTCTATCCATGACCAGGCAATCCCTTGGCTCTGGGGGCTGTGGTGGCATATCATGGTGGGGCGCAGGTGGTAGAGCAAAGCCACTCACCTCGTGGCAGAGAAGAAGGAAAGAGGAGAAAAGACCAGGTCCCACAATCCCCTTCAAGGGCACACCCCATATGACCTAACTTCCTCCCACTAGGCCCCACCCATAAATGTGCCCCCCACACACACACCTCTCAGTAGCACTTCAGGCAGGCCAGGATGGAAGCCTTGATCACATGGGACATTGGAGGACATTCTAGATCCAAACTATGGCAAAAGCTGAAAGGTTCAGGACGGCCTTTTTCTGGGTCAGTGAGGGTCATTCCCTCTCTGTTCCTCTACCTAAAGGCTGTGGCCAGTCAGCCTCAGCATTCCTCCCTGGGTGTTTAAGGACGAATTAATCAAAAGTTCTTTGCAGGTGACAGCACAACACAAGGGGACCTGGGATCTCCTGTCGGCCCCCGCAAAAAGCAAACTGTTTTTGTGACCTTGACCACATCCTCCCTGGACCTTGGTCTCCTGGCCGTCACCCACATTCCGGGGCTTTGTGGATGAATGTTGGGGGAAGTGAAGGGCTGTGTCAATGTTGACTGCTAATAACAAACCCTCCACGAAATGTCTGTATATCGCCTGGGCAACCCAACGGCTTTAAAAATCTTAAGTGGCTCTTGTTCTTCTGATTCATCGCATTCTATGCATTTAACTTCCAGAACAAATTTAGCCCTCGAAATATCTTGGTACATTTTCTACCCACCCCTTAACATTTAGCTCCTCCATCTTCCATGCCACTTCACCATTCCTGCATCACCTGTTTCCCTGGAACACCCTCCTCCCCGTCCTCTTCAAGAAACCAGCCCAGCCCACCCCAGAGGTGTGGCCTTGCTGGGTCTGCTCCAGGCACGTCCTGAAAGAGGGAACCAGCAAAGCATGGCAGGAGCCTGGGGAGACGTGGGCAGGGCAGGGGAGGAGAAGTTAGGACCCAGTGAAGGGCTAGAGTCCAAGGCAACAAGCAGAATAATCCCCGGCCACCCACACACTGTAGGCATATAGCCTCAGGATTGGGGGAAGATTGCCGCAGGGTACCAACTTCCGAATCTGTTTGGAGCCATTCTGGTCCCTGGCTCGAGACCTAGCCTCGTCAGCGGTGGGGCTGGACCAGCCTGGAACAGTCCCAGTTCTTTTGGACCAGAAGCCCATCAAGGGAAGACTGAGGTCAGTGCTGTTCTCTCAGAACCACTTGCCTTAGCCACACTCAGCCCACACCTCCTCTTTCTTTAAAAGCAAAAATTGTCTCCGTCCCTTCCAAGATGTTAAACACGAGGTTTAAGGTGAGCCTTGAAGGCAGCCAAGGTAAGGGCTGGAGAGACTTTCAAAGTGTTTGCAGCTGAGCAAGGCAGGGCAGAGCCCAGCCCTAGCCGCCGGCTCCTCTGCACGGGGCTGGGGTTGAGGTGGGAAATTCTTTCAGAAGAGCAGGTGCCACCACCCTGAAAGCCAACAAGAGTGATAGAAAATGTTTATTGAGTACTTGCTATGCGCCAGAAGCTATCCTAAGTATTTTCACATGAATTTACTTGTTTAATGCTCACAACATTAAGCAGAAAGGATGATTCTTCATTTGACAGAAGGGCATATCCAAGTACAGCGAGGTTAAGTGACTGGTCCCAAGTCCACAGGCTGGCAAGCAGGCAGACTGCATTTTGAAGCCAGGAGGTGGTGGCATCAAGTAAGGCCACTCTGAAGATAAAGCACACCCCAAGTTTCCTCTCAAGGCTAAACAAGTCACGTGGATGGGATTTTTGTCTTGTTCCCACCTCTCTCTCTCCTCTTTCTGGGTGCTGTTCTAAGTCCCTTTAACAATGGGAAGAGGAATCCTATAAACTCAGATCAAGTGCAACCTGAGCCACAAAATGAAACGAACACCTGATGCTGAAATCTCAGGAACTGTGGCTCTGGAGTTTGGTCATATTTTCAGCTGGGTTCAAATTACCAGCCCCCTTTAAATTGTATGATGCTGCTTCAATGATACATAAAGTTCATCTTGCCCTGGCTTCTCTTCCCTCACCCACCCCAAACATTTATATCACAAAAATGAAACCCTTTGCATGTCCTTTAAAAACCACTTGCAAAACCCACAGGGTCCTTATTCTTTTGTAAATAACAGGAGAGCTGGAGCTCTTCAGTCCCTTGAATTAGCTTCTGGTGAGTGACCAGCTTTTCTGAAAGTTAACTCCTCCGAGCCTGGCCTCTGATAACCTGCCAAAACCCCCAGCCACAGAAAAGACCAGAATCTCTCTCTCCCCCCATTCCCATGCTGCTGTCTGACATTTAACTGTTAACACAGTTAATTCTAGCATGGTAGGCTTCAGATCCTTTTCTCCAAATAAACCTCAGTGCTGTAAAGAGATCCCCATCCCACCCAAATGTCTGAACTCCGGGTCTCTCATTCAAACATCCTTGGATTATAAACCTTCTAGGCTTCTCCATTCAATTACACGCCTCTGCTCAAATACCTAATGGAAGCCATCAAAGACCTGAAAACTCTGGCTTCAGATCAATACAACAGTTCCCTTGATAAGGTTCCTTCTGGTAAAGAACTAGAAGTACCCTCTCAAAACCCCAAGCACACTGGCTTATTATTTGCCACTAAAAATCTCACAGACTGTTTGTTCTGTGCCCAAACTCATGTTCCAGTTTTTGTTTGTTTTTTTTTCCTGAGACCAGTCCCCCCCATGCCTGAGAAACTGTGCTCAGGTCTACAGGGGCCTCACCTCTTTCCGGGCAGATTCCATCTCCCCAGACCTGGGCTTCCGTTCATGCAGCTTTGTCCCCACATTCTCTCTACCTCAAATGGCACGACTCGTTTTCCTCCTTTCCCTCCTGACTCAGGGTCCTTGTAAGTCTCTCTGAAACTGACACTAGAATCAAAAGAGGAAGGGGAAAAAAATAGCCACAGAGAACCTCAGACAGTCTCCTTTAACCAGCTCTGAGCTGCATGCCCCTCTCTTGCCAGTTCTTTCTGGATGGGCCTCCACCTCTCCCAAGCATGGCTCCTTCAAACAGCCCCCCAGTCTCTCCACAAGCATCCACTCAGCCCATGTGTCAAGTGCATTTGGTGCAAGACATCGTCTACCGTGCCGGGGAGCATGGTGCAATGTGGAAGAATGGATTCCTGCCTTCTAGACCTTAGAGTCTCTGGGAGGGGACCAGACGCTTTCTCCAAAGTAGATGCAACTCCTGGAGAATCCTTTCTAAATGACAGCAGTGACAGCCACAGACTCCATTAGCTTGAAGAAGTTGCACCTTGAGGGGTGTATAGAATTCTGGAGCAAGAGGAACAGGAAGGATGCTTTGGAAAGGGATCAAGGGAGCAAAGACATAAACTTATTTAGGGACAGTAGATTCATGACTCAGCACCAAATGACCAGAATAGGGCTGTGGGAGTTGAGAGGAGGTGTGGAAGCGGACAGATGTATGTCCCAATGCGGAGACCTGGGCAGGCTGGGGAAGGCTTTGAATGCCAGGCTAGCAAGGTGACCTGTAGGCAGTGCCATCCCTGAGGGAACCAACCTCTCCCCAACAAAATGGAAATAGGGCAAGGAGGAGGTGGCAGGGCCTCCCACCAACATTGGTGGCCAAACCAGGCTGATGCTTCACTTTTAGCTCTGGCCCTAAGTTGTAGTTCCAGCTCTGCAGGAGAGCCACCTCAGACAGCCCACATTGATAGTTTGTTGTTGTTGTTGTTGTTGTTTGTTTGTTTGTTTCTGGAAAGAGTGCAAGCCTGGGAATTGAGAGACCTGGCTCCTGCCCCGGAACAGCCACTGACTAGAAGACAATCCATGTTGTTTTATGAGCCTCTGCTTCTTCATTTGTAGAGTGACAATGAGGGATTTGAACCAGTCCTTCCAGCCCTCAGATGATATTTTACAGTCTCCCTCCGCTACCCTCTCTTAAGGCTCCAGAAGAGATATATATATATTTTGTTGTTGTTTTAGTTGCTGGGGTATCATCTTTTTTTTCAGTTTTCTCTCTTCTTCTATTTCCTGACAGATGTCTTTTTCTAAAAATTTTTCTTAATGTGAAAAAAAATTATATTTACTTTGAAAAATACAGAAAGCCTGGAGATAATAAGAAAATCTCAATCCAACTGTTCACAGAGAACCACCATGAACAACTTGGCATATTTTTCTGGTCTTTCTGTTCATATACATAAACACATTGCTATGGTTCGGATCCTGAATGTCCCCCAAAGCTCATATGTTAGGCAATGCAGCAAGGTTCAGCGGTGAAAAGACAGGGTTGTGAGAGCTGTGACCTCAACAGTGGAAAAATCCGACGTTTAATTAATTTGAATGGACTACTGGGTGGTAGCTGAGGGGAGGTGGGGCGTGGCTGGGGAAAGTAGGACACTGAGGGTGCCCTTGGGGATTATATCTTGTCCCTGACGCGCCTCTCTCTCTCTTTCTCTCTCTGTCTCCCCACCCCCACTCCTCCCACACTCCTTCCCCTCTCCCAGTTACCATACCTGAGCAGCTTCCCTCAGCCATGCCCTTCCGCCATGATGTTCAATCTCATTTCGGGCCCAGAACAGTAAAGCCAGCCAACCATGGACGTCACCTCTGAAACTGTAAGCCCAAAATAAACTTTTCCTCCTCTAAGTTGTTCTTTGTCAGGGATTTTGGTCACAGCAATAAAAAGCTGACTAACACATACAGTTACCTGTTTTTACTTTTAATTGAGTCAGTGCCATACAACATGTACTGCTTCAAAACCTGCTTTCTTTTTTCATTTAAAAAAATACATTTTGTGGAAGGATGGGGGCCGGGCTCAGCAGTAAAGTATGCACAATCAGCAATAGAAGGCCCCACATTTGATCCTCAGAAATGCATATATTTTTGATTTCCACTTCCAGTATTGATTTTTTTTTTGGTTGTTTTTGAGCCATCCCTCCAACTGAGAACTAGAAAAACTGGACAACATATAACAAGATCTTCTTGAAGACATCCGAAAGATTACCAAGGCAGTGAAATTTTGTGATGCTATGATCTGAAAGAGGAAAGAAATCAAGAAAAATGAACCCAGAATTCATTCCATGGTGGACCT